GCCTCTTGCCATCCTCTCTGACAGTTAGTTAAACCTCATCTTGAAAATGCAGAAATGACCAATCTCTTGTAGTTTAAATAGTCCAGGATCTGTAAACAAACCCAAAAATACTTTTGACCCTAGAACTGTGTGGGTCCACTTACATGCAGATTTTTTCCAATAAGTATGTAGGAAAAATTTTGGAATTTGCCACACTGTGAAAAACATTTTCTTTCCTCTAGCCTTCTTTATTGTAAGAATACAGTATATAATACATATAACATGCAAAGTTTGTGTTAATCGACAGTAGGCTATTCATCGTTAAGTTCTTGGTAGTCAAAAATTAAACTCAGATTTTCACCTACTCCAGGGTTGGTGCCCTAACTCCTGTGTTGTAAAGGGAACAACTGTACATTGCAGGGGCTGCTACTTGGATAAGACACCAGGTACTCCCATTTAAAGTGCAAATATACCTTACACCCAACTTTGGGGGAGGCTATTTCAAGAGGTTGAAGGGGAGCAGTTGCCTCAAGTGACTGGCATCTTTGTTTCAGGAGGGTTGATATTATCCCTTCTGTTTTCTGCTCCCTCTACCCTACTGCCGAGTATCAAATTTCAGAAACCCTCTCTTCTGAAATAGAGATGGGTGCTGTGGGTCTGGGGAGCCATGTATACAGCTGGTGACCTAGGGCAGAAAGCACTTGCCAAGTAAAGAAGCTCAGTTGCTAGGGAGGCACTGTGTCTTTGGTCTCGGGCAATAGTTAAGCAAAGGCACGTGCATCATGGGTTTGGGGTGCTGCTCAGGAGACGCCCTTTGCAGCCTTTGGACTGGAACCAGAGATATTATTAGTGCTGACAGGGAAGGGAATTGCCTGCTTAGTGGTGAGGAAAATTAACAGCTCAAGCAGTCTTCCATCTTGCATTCTCCATGCAGGCATTTTGATTTAAAAAGAAAAAGACTAGAACTAATATCTGAATTCAGCAAAGTTGCAGGATACAAAATTAATACACAGAAATCTGTTGCTTTCCTAAACACTAACAATGAACTAGCAGAAAGAGAAATCAGGAAAACAATTCCATTCACAATTGCATCAAAAAAAAAATACCTAGGAATAAACCTAACCAAGGAAGTGAAGGACCTATACCCTGAAAAACTACAAGACACTCTTAAGAGAAATTAAAGAGGACACTAACAAATGGAAACTCATCCCATGCTCTTGGCTAGGAAGAATTAATATTGTCAAAATGGCCATCCTGCCTAAAGCAATCTACAGATTCAGTGCAATCCCTATCAAAATACCAACAGCATTCTTCAATGAACTGGAACAAATAGTTCTAAAATTCATATGGAACCACAAAAGACCCCAAATAGCCAAAGCGATCCTGAGAAGGAAGAAAAAAGCAGGGGTGATCTTGCTTCCCAACTTTAAACTCTACTACAAAGCCACAGTAATCAAGACAATTTGGTACTGGCACCAGAACAGACCCACAGACCAGTGGAACAGAATAGAGAGCCCAGATATTAATCCAAACATATATGGTCAATTAATATATGATAAAGGAGCCATGGACATACAGTGGGGAAATGACAGCCTCTTCAACAGCTGGTGTTGGCAAAACTGGACAGCTACATGTAAGAGTGAAGCTGGTACATTGTCAAACCCCATACACAAAAGTAAATTTGAAATGGATCAAAGACCTGAATGTAAGTCATGAAACCATAAAACTCTTAAAAAAAACATAGGCAAAAATCTCTTGGACATAAATATGAGCAACTTTTTCATGAACATATCTCCCCAGGCAAGGGAAAATGAACAAGTGAGACTATATCAAGTTGAAAACCTTCTGTACAGCAAAGGATACCATCAATAGAACAAAAAGGCATCCTACAGTATGGGAGAATATATTCATAAATGACAGATCCTATAAAGGGTTGATATCCAAACTATATAAAGAGCTCATGCACCTCAACAAACAAAAAGCAAATAATCCAATTTAAAAAATGGGCAGAGGAGCTGAACAGACAGTTCTCCAAAGAAGAAATTCAGATGGCCAACAGACACATGAAAAGATGCTCCACATCACTAGTCATCAGAGAAATGCAAATTAGAACCACAATGAGATATCACCTCACACCAGTAAGGGTCGCCACCATCCAAAAGACAAACACCAACAAATGTTGGTGAGGTTGTGGAGAAAGGAGAACCCTCCTACACTGCTGGTGGGAATGTAAATTTGTTTAACCATTGTGGAAAGCAGTATGGAGGTTCCTCAAAAAACTAAAAATAGAAATACCATTTGACCCAGGAATTCCACTCCTGGGAATTTACCCTAAGAATGCAGCAGCCCAGTTTGAAAATGACATATGCACCCCTATGTTTATCACAGCACTATTTACAATAGCTAAGAAATGGAAGCAACCTAAATGTCCATCAGTAGATAAATGGATAAAGAAGATGTGGTACATATACACAATGGAATGTTATTCAGCCATAAGAGGAAAATGAATCCTACCATTGGCAACAACATGGATGGAGCTAGAGGGTATTATGCTCAGTGAAATAAGCCAGGTGGAGAAAGACAAGTACCAAATTATTTCACTCATCTGTGGAGTATAAGAAAAGAAAAAAAACTGAAGGAGCAAAACAGCAGCAGACTCATAGAACCCAAGAATGGACTAACAGTTACCAAAGGGAAAGGGGCTGGGGAGGATGGATGGGAAGGGAGGGATAAGGGGTGGGAAAAAAGAAAGGGGGCATTATGATCAGCATGTATAATGTTGGGGGGGGACACAGGGAGGGCTGTACAACAGAGAAGACAAGTAGTGATTCTACAGCATCTTATTATGCTGATGGACAGTGACTGTAATGGAGTTTGTGGGGGGGACCTGGTGATGGGGGGAGTCCAGTAAGCATAATGTTCCTCATGTAAGTGTAGATTAATGATACCAAAATAAAAATTTAAAAAAAAAGAATACTGCTGCAGCTGTTTGCATAATCTGAAAGTGTGTGTGCATGTGTGTGGTTTGGTGTTTACAAATTTGGGGTTGCAGAGGGGAGTTTCCAGAGCAACGGAAGTAGCTGCTTGTCAGTCTGCGTTCATTTTGAAAATGAAAGCCTGGAAGCTTGGGGCCCACTCTGTGGGCTTGGTCTCCAAGGAGCTAGCAAAGGCCAGGAGGTGGCTTTGGCTAGTCGGCTCAGGGAAGCAACTACTTGATCACTATTTTTTTCATGAATTGACTAAATCTGTGAGTTGCTCCTGGTGTCCTGCAGATTAAGTATAACGCCGGACAGGAGAGCTGGCATGAAGGCTCTGGCTGCAGATGAACCCCGAAACATACACACAATCACATTTCCCCAGGTGCCAAACCAGAACAAGGGAATAAGTATTTCTCACACCTAGTGGGTGCCCACAGCCATCAAAGAGTTTATAGAGTTTAAATGGCAGGTCCGAGCAAGAGGAGAGAAATACAACACAAGGCAGTCTGTGGGGGCTGCTGAAGGAGTACTACAGACAAACAGTGGGGAGGAGGAGGGATCACTCCCAGCTGGGGTAATCAGAGGAGGCTTATTGGACAAGATGGAAATGAGGCCAACCTTGAAGGAGAGGGAGAAGGACTTCACCAGACAGAATCTCTGAGGGAGGGCATTCTAGGTAGAGGAGGGCAAGTTCAAAATATGCTTAGGTTAGGACAAGTCCGTCTGTTTGGCTGGAATTTGGGGCTGGTGTGAGTGATTTGCTGCTGATTAGCCTGGCTTGAGTGCCAGTGCCTCTGTGCCAGAACAAAGGCTCTGGTGTCTCACAGACCTACCTGCCCTGCCACTTCCTGCTTGGTGACCTTCCTGCTAGGTGACTTAGTGACCTAAGTGGCTGAACCTCTCTGCAAACTGGGGATAGTAATGATATTTAGCTTTTGAGGTCACTGGAAAGATTAAAAGAGTAACATATATGAAGCATCTACCACAGTGTCTGGCACATAATAAATGTTCGAAACTGGGTTACAAATGCATAGGCCGTCATGAGGAAAAGAACAAGATATTTAGGGCAGATCCCAAATATCTGAGGGCCAAGGAAGAAAAGCCTCTGTACCTTCCTTCACTGTTAGGCGGGCTGAGTGGGGTTGGTTGGCCTGAGCCCCTGTCCTCTCTGGCCTAGACTGTTGAAACAGTCTCCTGGCTCCCTGCCTCTCTGCGTCTCCCACAATCATCTTCCTAACCACCACCTTAATTATGGCTGTATCCCTCTCTGGCTCAAGAACTTTCTATGGCTCCCTGTTGCCCACTGTGACTGAGCTCCATAACATGGTGGGGGACAGGAGGCAAGAACTACCATATACTGAGGGAAGGAAAGAGCAAAGATGAGTCCAGTGTTATGAGTGCAAAGGTAAAAAAAACTCTTTAAAAAGCCCTGAAGCTCTGAATTTGCAGAAATCAGCAGGTTCTTCAGGCAGAGAGCAGGGACACATCCCAGAAGACAGCGGAGTGTTCTGCTGACTCCGATTCACCTGTACCTGCATCTTCATGCCAACCTGGGAAAGGTTAAAGAAGAGGGGAGAAGGGGTCAGAGAGGGGATCAGGGACCCATGGGGAAGTAGAGGAATGCTTCTTCTCAGTTCCCTGGAAGGCCTTCTGCTTGGACCCTGGTCTCAGGTTTTTCGACAGGAATCCCGGGCAACTTGGGTTCTGCGGGGAAGGTCAAGGCCACATAAACAGAACAGAAGAGCTCGAGTCACCTGGGGCAGTAAGGCCTCCTTCTTGAAAGCTAGATTTGGGCCCAGGGCGGCTTGGGGACAAAGTGCAGGGAGACTCCTGAGGCGATTAAGAGGGAAGGGCGTAGGAAGGGGCGGGGAGCGAGGGCCCTGGAGCTCTAGGATCCCGCTCCCGAAGGCCTCGGCTGGAAGCCGAGCTCAGCCCGCCGGGAAGGGGGGGCACCATTAGAGCCTCTTCACCGCGGCAGATGCTGGGATGCTGAGAGCCCACCGGCAGGGGTAGCAGGGCTGCTGCGGGCGGCGCTCTGGGCCGGCTCCCCGCCCGCTGCCGGAGCCGTGCGGAAGGCGTGGCTGCCCGCTCACCTGGCCGTTTGGGCGGAGCCCCGGAAGGGGTGCGGGTGCTCGCGGTGCTGGAGAGGGCTTGCCCTGGGGTTTGCTCCTACCCTTCCATACCCTTCACCGCCCGCGCCGCGGCCCTCCCTCGGCCGGCCCGCTCTCTCCCTCCCTCTCCGACCCCTCCTTTGCTCCCTCCCTCAGGGTCCAATTGCTCAAGCTGCTTCCTTCCCCAACGCCAGCGCCAGTTCCTCTCCTGGTGGGGCCCGGGAAGGGCAGCGAACGCTAGACTCAAACAGCCGCGGCGGCAGCTGCCAGACCATGGCCCAGCCCCGAGCGGCCACGAATCTGGCACCCAAGGCCTCCCTCGTACCGAGCGCGCTGAGCCTGCGGAGCGCCCCGCAGCCCCGCGCAGCGAAAGAGGACTTAGGCAGCTTGGCCAGGTACCCGGGCAATGCCGCCGCCACCGCCTCCTGGGAGCCCCACTTGCACAGCTCGCTGATGCTCTCGGGAGCGGGCTCCGGGCGCCGGCGGGGAGCATTGCGAGAGTTGCTGGGGCTGCAGGGGACGGCTCCTGCCAGGTGGCTGTCAGAGGAGCGAGCCAAGGAGCAGTCGCCCAGCGGGCCGAACGGACTGGGTGGCAGCGGGCTGTGCCTGGAGCCCCGAGAGCACGCGTGGATACTGGCGGCCGCCGAGGGCCGCTTTAATGTGCTGCAGGAGCATCTGGAAGCCGAGCCGGGACTGCTGCTGCGGGGCGACCCGATCACGGGCTACACGGTGCTGCACTGGCTGGCCAAGCACGGGCGCCACGAGGAGCTCATCCTAGTACACGACTTCGCCGAACGCCGAGGACTGCGGCTCGACATGAGCGCCCCGGGCAGCGGCGGCCTCACGCCCCTTCACCTGGCGGCCCTGCAGGGCCACGACATGGTCATCAAGGTGCTGGTGGGCGCCTTGGGCGCTGACCCCATGCGCCGCGACCACAATGGACATCGGGCCTGTCACTACCTGCGGCCCGACGCTCCCCGGAGTCTGCGAGAGCTGTCGGGGGCCGAGGACTGGGAGACGGCAGCAGGCAGAGAGCGAAACAATGCCAACAACAACAGCAGCGGCAGCGCCGGGTGGGCGCCGCGACGGCCCCCGAGCGCAGGGCGCTTGATGGTCGTGGAGACAACCGCGAGAGCGACGGGGTCACTCGACACGGAGAAGGACTCCACAGGCAGCCGAGTGGCGCAAATTCATAACCTTGTCCGCCATATGTTCCCTTTCTTCCAGGACCGTTGAGGGCGATGGGGATTGGAGGGCGCGGAGGGACTGCGACGCTGTGACCGAGGTCTCAGTCCTGGGTTGTACCGGGTTCAACAAGGAGCAGCGCCTCGGACTCAGCTCGGATCGCAGCCGAGTGCGCTGGGCCTGCAAGGATCAGACCATCTTGGGGTCTGCCTCAGGTACCTGCCCCACGTCTCCTGCAGCCCAGGGACCAGGAAACCTCTATCCGAGAAATGAAAGACCAAGCTACCTTGGTGCCAAATCCCAAAACTACAGGACAAAGGAGTTAGGAGCAGGACAGTGGCCCTGCTTAGGAGAGGGAAAGGCAAGCTTCCAGTAGCCATTTTAGGGCAGGCAGAAGCTCTGGATTTATTAGGAAACATTTGCTAGAAAATTAGTCAAGACTGAACCACCAATGCCAAGCAAGCACCACACTGCCGGCTTGACTCAGCTGTTTGTGCAGTAGAGTCAGCCCCTGGCAACGTGGTCTGGAGATAAGCAAGCTTACCACACCTTTTCTAATGCATCAGGGATGACTCCTTCAGCATATTAAAGTGGAATCTGTTTTCCTTTCACATGACAAAGCTGTCCTTTGAGTGACTTTTTTTCATTAACCACCAAGTGGGGGAAGCTTCCTATCCTTGCAGGGAAGAGGTCACCAACCCATGGCCGCAAGCTAGTGATCCAGGGCCAGCTCTGGACCTCATTCTCAGAGCAAATAGCCGAGCTGTGCGCTGCTGGAGTTACTGTCACCTTGGCTTTGAGCAGAGCAACACAGTTGACCTCAGGTCTCCCGGGCTCTTTAGCATGTAGATCTGGTCTCCTCCACCTCTCATGCTAGAGGAGTTTTCTGTAAGGGCCAGAGGGGTGGTGGCAGGGAGAAGTCTCCAAATGTACATTTCTGATATTTCATGCTGAGTCATGTAGTTTACCTTCTGCCCTCCAGTGAGATATACCCACTGGCACTTTCTCCAAGATAAGGCTTTAATCATTAGCATTGCTTTTTCTTTTATTAATGCCAAAAGCAAAAATGTAAACAATGACAATTGTCAGGTGAACTTTGGACACCAAAATAATCTGTTCCTTTTTTGACAAAGGTAGATTTTCCTAGCTGAATAAAACATAACTGTGTACAAATTGCACCTGGATAAAAAAAAGGTTAATTGACTGAACCCTTGAAATTTAATCAAAAGCACCCCAAGCTGGTGAGCATAAAACTGTTTTGCCGGATTCCTTCTTAGTGTTTTAGGGGGTAAAAACGCAGTTAGTACAACTGCTGTTCCTACTGACTGCATTTGACATCTCAGCAAAAACTCTCTCCTCAGAATTCGTATTTAAGATGGGAATCACTGCAAAGATTTAGTATAGATAATTTGTAGACATGTAGACACTGGGTATATGCATTGGCTTTTTCCATAAACCTGCTATAACATCATCTTGACTATAGCATTACTTTTTAATTACATTTAATAAACAAATCATAGTTTGGAAAAATTGCTCCCTTTCAGAAATAGTATGAACTGAGTAGAATACAGGAGGGTTGATTTAGGCTGAAATGAAGGAACAATCTCTTGGTGGTTAGTGATCCATGCTGCCTTAAGAGAACAGAGCATTTTAAGTAGCCTGCAAGCTTAGGTAGCCCTAGCAATGGGCTGTTGTGTTCCCAGCCCTCCAATTTCAGTCCTTGAACACCAGGGAGAAACTGAGTCACTAGAGAACACAGCCCATGAGCCCATCCATCCAACTTTCCATCTCTGCCTCTTTATTACTCCCTCTGTCCTCAAAATCTGCCCACCTTCCCTTAAGAACCTACCAGGTTCTTCTCATCCATGAAATGATCCGAAGTCTTCCTATTGATGTTTTCAGTCTGCCCCTTGACTCTACGAACTACACCTTAAATATTTTCACACAGTGCGTTTCCTTTTTCTTCTAAATGAACTTTGATGTTTGAAGTGGGTGGGTGAGCAGTTCCTGGATTCTGGCATTTGGCATCACATCTGGCCTAACTCCCCTCCAGCCTTGTGCCTGTATTATAGGTGCAAATTGGCGAACTGATGCAGATCTGCAGACTTTGCTCCACAACCTCCCCCTCTGACAGCTGCCAAGATGGGTTGGGATTGGTGAAGACTGTCCGTGTAGGGCCTTCCTGACACATGGCTGAGTCCCTGAGCTCCTGGCTTGGAGGGCAGACTGGACTGTGCCTTTACCTAACATGCTAAGGACAGTTGTAACAGTAGTCCCCTCTTCACAGGAAAAGTTGGAACTTAAGCATCTTAACTATTCGCAGATTTGGGAAGCTGAGACAAGCACCCACTCTGCTCTTTTCAAAATGAGAATGAAGTTAGCCAGAAGATTTGAAAGCAACGTCTATAGTTTTTCCTGTAGTCTGCTATTCTCCCCCACAGATTTTGCTCATCATGTGACATTGCATCACCTACCTCCTCCATGTAAAACTGAGGTTTGTCTGCAGGAGGAACCTCCCATGCTGCAACTCTCCATGCCTAACATCAAGCAATTGACATTTTTGGTATGCTTTCTGAGGCAAGACTGGTATCCTTAATCCTAGAGAAAGAACAGGTTCCCTGAGAAACTTCTTTCCAGGGGAGCAAAATGGAGCTAGGCAGACGATGAAAATCTCCAGTGTAGTGTGGCATGCAGACAAGGAGACAGAAGCAGGGTTGTGACAGGTAAGCAGGGGCACTGGGGCGAAATGGGGTGCTCCACAGAGGGCAGGGCCTGACCCAGGCAGAAAGGGCACAGGAAATCTTTGGGGAGAAGGTAATGCTTGATCTGAGGCTACAGGGATAAGAATAAGTTGGTCAAAGGAGAAGGTGGGGGGCCTCCTGGCAGAGACACTGGGCTATGTATGGGCAAACGTAGCAAGTTCCAGGAGCTGGAAGTCAGCTGGTTGGCAGGAAGGTGGGAGCTGGGGAGTAATGAATGGCAAAGCTGTAGAAGTGGATGGGGATCCTGATCACTAAGGGTCTCACTAAAAGAAGAGAGATTTTAATCTAAAGTTCACTGGGAACCATAGAAGGCTTCTAAGCAGAGAAGTAACATGATGAGATTTCACAAAAATCACTCTGCCAGTCACACAGAGGATGGATGTGCCAGGGGACATAACTGGGATAAAATGGAGCACAGAAGCAAAACATTTCTTAACTGCTTCAAGAAAAGTCATGCTTCATTCGAGAAGTTCAATGACTCTTGTGGAGCGCAGTGGCTTTCAAGCTTCTTTTTCTCTTCTGCATCATCTTAGCTTGCTTGCAGCTTATTGCATAGACCCGTGTGAAAAACTGACAAATGCAGAGCTGCTCAGGTGGAAGCTGGATTGGGACCTCTGCTCCCCAACCACTGCCTCTATCTTAGACAGGCACAGCCACCCGTGGAGCAAAATGGAAACCCGCTGGTGTGGTGGCAAGGGCTCAGCCTAACTTAGGCTCCCATGTTGACTACTGATGAGTGACCTGGAGCAAATCACTCACCTCTCTGAGTAGCAGTGTCCTCATCAGGAAAGTGGGAACAATACAACCTCCCTTGAAGAGTTGTTCTGAGGATTCGAGATAATATATAGGCAATACCTACCATGCTGCAGGAAAACAGGAAATAGGAAATAGCAGTTGTTTGGAAGAACTGAAAGGTGCTCAGCAGGCTCTTATCTGCTAAGAGAGTCCAGGAGGGATCTTGTGGTTACTGTATCATCTGTCTCTAGCATGTGTCCACATTGATTGCAAGTTATTTTCTCTCTATGCCAAATGAGTTGCTATTCCTCAAAGGGTATATTGGTTCCTCTGCTGATCTTTTCACAACTTACACACTTTTACTCCAGACATAATTGTACCAAGCTGACTTACCTTGTTCTCAGCCAACAGAAGTAAAAGCAGCAGCTTAATAAGTACCCACCAAATAGTAAATAGGTTAGATATTGTTTCCAGATAAAGTCATATATTGGAGTCAGGGCTAAACCTGATATCCTCTGAAGAGAATAAAAGCATACAAGTCCTTCCTCTCCTGACCCTATTATTTATAGAGATGTTCCCCTCTCATCCATGCAGATATACTCTACATTCCACTCCTAGCCTCCTGTCTTCCCCTTTTCCATTCATTTTAACCAAGGAGCATGCCTGTGTCCTTTCAAGATGCAACTCCTGCACTCAACCCCGAAGCTCACACCCAGTTTACTTCAGGGCTATAAACATTTACTGAGTGTCTATTAGGAGCCAGGTTCTTTGGTGACAAACAAGCTCGAGTCTCCCCTGGCCTTCAGGCCCAGGCTTGTGACTCTTCTCTTCCCAGGGAAGTCATAAGGAAAGTCTTCTCCCCTTACTGACTTAAGCATGCCTCAAGCCCCTGCATTCTGGTTCTGCTCCATCATTCCAGGGCAATTGCTTTCACAAAGGTCTCCCATGAAAGTCTCCCATCTTCCAAATGCCAAGTCCTCATCTTAGTTCATTCTTGCCTACACTGGCCAATGTTGGCTACTTCCTTCTCCTTGAAATTCCCTTCTCTAGTCTTCCATGACCTCTTACAGCTTAGATTGCTCAAATTTACCAGGGTGAAGTTCCAGAAACTTTTTCTTCACATTCTCTCCCTACATCATTTCTTCCCTTCCCCTCTCCCCCTTCCTCCCTCTGCTCCAGCCACACAGTCCCACTTGCTCTTCCTTGAAGGAGCTATGTTCTTCTGAACTCTGGGATTCCTACATGCTATTCCCACTTCAGAAACACTCTTCCCTCTATTCCTTGCACCTCTTATCCTGGGCCTCTCCCACTGTCCTTCAGATGTTTGTTAATGTCCTTTGGGAAGTCTCCCCTATCCCTCAGGTTAGGTTAGCACTTCACCTGTTCTACTGCTTTTCACAGTCTTCATCACACTTGAAAAATTATTCAAGCAGTTATTAGATTAATATCTTCCCTGCTCCTGGTGGATTTAAATTCCATGAGAGCATGGACAAAGTCTGTATGGAAGGTGCTCAATAATAAGTATCAAGTGGTGATGGAATCACAGATTTGACCTCAAAAAGACAAGAAACAAAAGAAGAAATAGATAGGTTGGACTTCATTAAAATTTAAAATTTTGGGCCACAAAAACTATCATAAAAAGTGAAGAGACAACTCACAGAATGGGAGAAAATATTTGCAAACATATATCTCATAAGAGTCTAGTATCCAAACATTCCTACACTGCGGGTGGGAATGTAAATTAGTTCA